GGAAAAAAAAAAAAATGTAAAAATGGTATAAAATTGCCGACCCATGTCAATCTTTGACATGAGCCATCAACCCAAAATGTTAGATGAATGTCCCATTTCTATTGGATGGAGCAATTTTTTTATAAGATAATTAAATTATATATAATAATTTATATTAAAAAAATAGCAAAATTCATAATTTTTTATTCTCTATAAATAGAGACCACATTTGATAGGTTTTGTAACACAATCAATTTCTCTCTTTTCACTCATTTCATAATCATATCTTGTTAATTTTATCATCTTTTTAATTATAAAATTTTAATTAATTTATCACATCTAAAATAATAACAAAAATCAATTGTAGATAATATTTAATAAATGAATAAATTTAAATAAAATAAATATTTTAGTTTGGATTGGGTTGTGGATAAAAATGAGTTAGGGGGCGATTGGATATAGTTTCAACAGTAAAAAAACCAATTAAAACTCAAATTTAACTCAACTTTAACCCAACTCCACTATCTCTAATATTATCAATATAATAAAATAATATCAACCAATCATTCTTACACATCACATCAACTTTAATTTACTATTCATCCACTCACATAATTTTAATAACCATCATTTCCAATCATTTTTTTTCCTACTTTACATCAAATCAACTTTATTATTTTATTTAAATATTATTTTATTATATCAACTAACAACTAGCCGTACTACCTTTTTTCAAAATTAACTATAGTTAAAAGAAAATTAAATAAAAACTAGTTGAATCCATAAAGAATCACACCTTTAGGTTTTGAAACTTGAGTTGTGTAGGTAGATGAAAGAGAAATAATATTTTATTATTTGGTTGGGTTGACTTGGGTAATGGGTAAAGATATCTTACATTTTAGTACTTTACACACGATTCAGGGGCTCCTTTGCAAATAACACAACAAAGTTTTTTGAATGCCCCCTCCTATGCGCCATATACACAGCGCAAAACCAAGGCCCCCAGACCCCCCCCACCACCTACAATTCTCACTCTCAAATTCGACATTCGAAATAAAATTAGGCTCGCCTGAAGGGACGAAGGAATCCAGATATGGATTCCACTCCTCCTCGTGCCCGCATAGATCAGGTTTTTCGCTAATATAAAGAAACCCTACTGTTGTAAAATCTCATAACCCGCTTGTATTTTAGCGCTGATTGGCATTTTGGTTTTGTTTATCGAGGGAATAAAATCACCATCTTGCTCGTTTTTGTTCCTTTTATTTTTGGAGTATTTGAATTGAACGCTGGTTGATGAATATTTATCTTTTTCTTTTGTTCTCTGTAAATTTATCCCCCTAAAAGGAAGTAAGGACTGTGTAGTGTTGTGAGACTAATGAATTTATTTGTGGAGTTCCCTATTTTCTCCCTCTGTTGTCTGATTGGTTGAGAGAATTAGTGTTTGGATTGTGGGCTTTGATTGTGCTATCGAAGTTTATATAATTGCACAGTTATTTCTACATTCAAGCTTAACTCCCTCTCTGTAG